TGTTTGACCCACAGTAAAATCTAACCGCATTATAACACCAGCGAAAGAAGAAAATAAGAGGCTACAGGGTGGGTGACGATGGAAATGTGAGTGAGAGGCCTCAGGCCTGCTAACTTGAGAGCAACCTCTGAACAGTTGGATTTTCTGCACAGCATCATCCAGCAGTGAATATAATAAAACACATTTTGGTTTTAAAAAGCACAGACTCCATCTAGTGGTAATGTTCAGTGGTTTAAATTTCCTGCATTACGGAATTGAGGTCTCACAAAGGGTTCTGTTTGGGGTCTAATTTGAATATTTCTTAAGGATTTCTTAACGGTGAAGGAATGTAAATGGGAACTTCTTCCTTAACTGGAAGTACATCACACTGACCTGTGGGAAATCCACTCGAACAAAATCTACTTAAAGAGGAAACCCATTACAAATTATACATTTTATACCCTAGTCACCTAATATATACTTCATTGTTTACTACATCAGGTGAGAAAAAAGCTCAGAGCAACTGGAGCCAACTGTAACACAGACAAACAACTCACAAATTAACCTTTGCTTTTGCTGGGAGCACTGATTACTCGAATACTCAAACACCCTCCTCACTGGTCTCCACCATTCACAAAATTCAACTAATTCAAAACTCCACCGCCCGCATTCTCATCTGCACTAAACTCCATATGTCCATTACCCCAATCCTTGTCAAACGCCACTGGCTCCGTCACAGAGCAAATCCCTTCATGCCCTGGCACCCCCCCATCTCTCCAACTTGCTCTCTCCCTACACTACTTCCTGCCGCCTCCGCTCAACTGGTTCCGGCCTCCTGGTCTCCCAGACCCTCAGCCCCTCGGCGGCTGTGCTTTCAGCCACTACGCCCCAAAACTGGAACTCTCTCCCTAAATCCCTTCACCCTGTCCCCGTAATCCCCATTTTCAGGTTGCGCCTTGAAGACCTTCCTCTTCGACCATGCCTAGTCAGCATCCCTCTCTCCCTGGCTCGGCATCAGGGTCCGCCACTATCCGGCGTGAAGGGTACTATATAAATGCAAGTTGTTGTTGCTGGTAGTTTTAGTCCTGGAGTATCAATACAATACCATTTACATTTATATACAGTTGTGCCTTTCACACTGGAAGGACACTCAAAGCATCTGACAATATTGGCTGGGCACCCAAGCTGGGGTGGGAGCTGAAGAAGCTGGGGATGGTTAGATGATTGAAAGCTCGGTTAAAGAGGTATATGTTGAGAGGTACCAATAACCTTTTATTTTCCCATCCCCAATTGGCACAGGGCTAATGTCTCACAAATAGGCATGAAGTGAATGACCAATTTTTATATGGGGGATTTTTGGTCAGAATGTTGTGTTTACCTAGAAATAGTCACTACACTTCTAGAGACATTACTATGAAGTACTTTGAAAGAAACATTTTGACTATCAAGTGTAAGGATTAATATTAAACTTTTTCCCAAAAATGAACACTACTGTGCTTACTTGCAACAACGTTTGAAACGGACATGTCATTGATATGCACGAAATAATTTAGTTTTACTGTAAAATGTTATGTAAAAATATTACAAAATAAAAACAACTCCAATTTTTACACCACATTTAATAATCATTGATTTTATTTCACTTTTTTACATTTGTCTTGTACAATAATAAAACATTTACTAGGTTCAAAAATGAAGTTAAATAAACTGTGCATTTAGTAGGACTGAAGTTCTAAGATAGAGAAAATACAAATGATGTAAATTTTAGACACAAAATGCATGCCAATGTGCTAATTTCAACCTTTTTGTTAGAAACAGACAGACACAAAATGAGACAAAGTTAACTCACATTTCAAAATGCATTAATCTTGATACAAGCTAAAATAGACAATGGCTTTAAAGCCAAGTGGTTCAGAAATTTCACAATGTTTGATTAGTTTGACTTAAAAAAAACTCCCCCAGACAAGTAATATTAGGTGGCTATGTACAATATTTCTTGTAAATTGAATGGATTTATGTCACCCAGATTTGGAATTTTAAGTGGAATTAAGAATGTACTGCCGTCAATATATATCTTGAATATTTTGGCAACAATAATTGAGATGTTAGACAGCAATAGATGACATTTGACTTACATTGGGGTCCAATAAAATGGTCATTTCTAACAGGTTTCTTAAGTAAGGAAATCTGAGTGGGTACTCCTTCTGATAATCTGAGTTATCTCACATTGATCTGCAGGAATTCTGCCCCAAACGTGATGGTCAAGAGCACGGATGTACTTCTGTGTGATTACTGAAGGTTTCCTGAATTAAGGAATACTGTTAGAAATTACCAAATTAATCCCAAGTATGCAAGAAGTTCTACTGGAAGCAATTGTGAGATTAGATTTTTTTTTCAAAATTACAGCACATTAATATTTAGAGCTGCTACCCTTAATGAAAACAGCAGGCTGTTTAGGATTAACACAGGAGAAACACCAGTGAACAAGAGCCAAAATCGTTTGAGTAACTTCCCTTTGGGTTAAAGTATAAAATGGTTGTGCACATCTCAGCCAGAATTAACACAGACAGATTACATTTGAAAATAAGAATTTTAATATCCAAAAATATAGAACATTACAGAAGAAAATCTAAAACAAAATTAAACCTAAAAATTACATTTTTGCAAAAGACGATAGTTATTTAAAATACATAATAATGTGCTTATTCATAAAGCATTTTTTGTGCATCGAATGTGTAACAACTACTCAGCTATTTTGACCTACTGGTTCACTGGTATTGGCTGTATTTAAATACAAACCAACATATTTTTGTACTTCTGTTCTGCTGTCATTATTGGTATGATTTAATGCTTAGCATTAAGAAGAATTGTCTAAAATCAGGCAATGTTTCTTCATTTTCACTTAAGTGTTCTTCATGGACACCTAAGTATCAACATTTACTACACTGATTCAAAACACTTACAAGAATTTTCATTGGGACTAAAGACATTGGATTTTTTTTGTAAATATTGTCCTCACTAACAGGAGAGACTTCAGTACCCAGGAATAGAATGTTTTCCTCCCAGGTACAGAATCAGATGGATTGGGTGTAGCATACATTTGATGTGAAGTAAAGCTCCCTCTACTCTTCCCCGTCTATACGTGGCTAAATCAGCCTCAGAAAGTAACCGTCCTGCACCATTGTTCATCTCCCATTCCAGCTCTTATTTGGTTTTTTTTGAACAAGGTTGGTTGCCCAAATGATGACAAACTATGGGCAGCTCTGCGCCATATGTTCTATGCTGTAAATACTAAAGTTCAATTAAATTAGGACACGTATGTCCTATTCATACTGCACATGAATTGATGCTAAAAGTGCAGTTTTTAGTAAGTAGCTTTGATTCTGAGCCACTCTCCTGAGCACATCTCCAGGACTGGTTTCAGAATGAAATCAATATACATTTGTTCATACCAATATAAATCTGGGGTTGCCGCAGCTGATTCCAGAGAACTTTTAACGATTAAAAAAATATAATTTTAGGCTCTTGAATGTTAACTACAGAGCGGTCTACATTCCTGGCCCTTTAATATCATTAAACCATTTATCAGCATTTGATGCCCGACAGCATTGCTCTGCGCATTCACCTAGCTACACATTTGCAGGGTCTGCTCAGCCCCTGGAAAAAGCAATACAGGGAACACAGTATAATTGAGCTTCCCAATCGGAATCTCTGCACTGCTGGAACCAATGTTAAATTGCTCCATCAGCATGAAAGAGGCATGAAAACTGCCAGAGACAAGAGACATCTAGTTTACTTTCCTGTACTGCATTTGAACCCATTTGCTACATGCAGAACAGTGGTGTTGTAATCCCCTTCAACACCCGATCTTTAATAAATAAATCGTTCTATAATAAATATCACAAAAAGCAGCTCATGATGACAAATAAAGCATACGACTTCTTCAAATTATAATACGTGATAATTGTAGAGAGCAGCAAGGCTATTGACTTTTTTTCAAAAAAAATCAGTTTTAGTAAGAGATGTATTTCTAAACTGCCAACATTGACTAAAGATTAAAATAAGCAAAGATATCAACAAACCTGGTCAGTATTGGCTGGTGATGAACGGATTAGAAAGTAAATTGTTACACTTCTCAATTCGATTTGTTTCCAAATATAAATTTGCATTCAGCTTATATTCCTCATGACTGCCCCACCCCACCTCAAAAATGAAGCGAGCAGCATCGATCGAAAATCACAGGGTCTGAATCCCTTAGGGGAGCTATTACAATATATACAGAGTGCTATTCTCCATTACATGCAGCGGAATAAGCCTAATGACAGTGCAGCTCAAATCATGTGCAATAGCATTTCAGTTTGCATTCCTCCTGACACCAGGGTTACTGTGAAATCAGAGGAGGCAGCCAAGATCTTACAAAGAGAGCTGAACAGGCTAAGTATCTGAGCAAACAAACAAAGTTCAATTCAGATAAATGTAAGTTACCGCACACAAGTAGTAAAAATAGTAGGTATATGTACTCCATTGACAGGTTAGAATTCATCAAGGAGGACGTTGAAAAAGACCTACAAGTGTTCATTGCTCACCCTGTCCAAAAAGGGAGGCAGCAATAAGCAAACACAATACCGGTCTACATTGCCAAATCAGTTCTGATCCCTAGATGTTGAGCTCAAGCTCTCAGAAGATTGGGGCATCAAGCCCTACGTCAGGTCTTGAACGCATATAGTCTAAGCTGACACTCCAAAGGAGAGCTGGGGATGTTTGGCATTGTTGGAGATGCCATCCTTTAGATGAGACGTTAAACCTGTCTATCTGTTCAGGTGGACGTTAAAGATCCCATGGCACTCTTCAAAAAAGAGAAGGGAATTTCTTCTGGTGTCCTGGCCAACAATCCCCCAAATAGAATTGGTCGTTCACTTTATGGCTGTTTGTGGAACACTGCTGTGCGCAAATTGGCTGCCCCGTTCGCCCACAGATGTACAGTTGCTCCACTTCACAGTGAATCTTGTGTGCTTTGGACGTCCTCCCGACCTGAAAGGCGCTATACAAGGATGATTATTATGAGGGCTCTGGCGAAGTTACATCTGGCGCATAGTGTACAGTTCTAGTCTCCGGAGCATAAGGACTGCCCATCCCCCAGAGGCAGTACAGAAAAGGGCAATGTGGATGATCCCATGTTACAGGGATAAGCTCGGATCTGGAGCTCTTTAGTCTTGGAAAAGAGACATCTCAGAGGGGCCCTTATATAGATATACAAGATGCTGAATGGGATTGAGAAAGCATACCCAGAACAATGCTTTCAGATACATCAAGGTAGCAGGATAAGAGGTCACAGGATTGCAAAGTGTCATTTTCAGACAGATTCCAGGAAGTATTTCTTTACACAGCGACTAACCAAAGCTGTAAAAGATAACCAGGCTGCACAGTTGCGCAAGCACCCATTTCAGCTCTAATATTGTAGCAAGAAGATATTAAGATGGGCATTTTGGAAGGACGAGATTCAATGGAAGAGCCTTCTTCATCCAAACCCATGTGATCGTGTCATACGATTCCATCGCAGCTCACCTCTGGCTATAGCAACTCCCTGCTACAGGCAACTAAACAGAACAAGACAAAAGCAGGAGAAAGAAAGCAGCTGCACTTGCCTATGGTGCGTGTGGAAAAAGAGTGCATACAACTCCAGCTGTCAATCGTTCATTGCCATCATTTGCTCTTGTGATATGGTCCCTGAATATTTTGTGTAGTTACACACCACGTCACATCATAGAAAGGGAGTTAGGTCATCTGCAACATTATGTTGATGACAGGAAGAGGAGGGCACTAATAACCAAGTCTTTTACAGGAATAGAACAGTTCTGTGTAGATTCTGTAAACCTCCTGATATGCCATTGCTTTTAAATGGCTTTGCAATCCAAAACCATTGGATTGAATTAATCTGACTCATACAGGATCTGTACGGAACGTATTTCATTTGACCAGGAAATTTCTCGATTATTGTTCTATTCTGTTCATGGGGCACCTCAGTTAACACTGGCCACTGTGTGATTGTTGGAAAGACTTCAGTTGTTGAGGTCACTGTTTGAGGTCTTGCTGAGTCCATCCGACCAGTCTCTGCTATAGAAGCCCTTCAAACAACGGATGAATGCTTTGAGCGCCTATCCAGTCTGGCCAAAATATATATCACTTATGAAATAAGCATTTCAATGCACATGGCTCACTTGTACAATACACTTTTCAGTTCACAGCAGTCCTGGTCCGTTTGGGTAAAGTATGGACTATACCTACAGTTCTCGCTCAAATCTAGTGATGTATTTAACACTGATACATAACATTCCTACAAAGCAGAATGTTTGTGTTGGTTCAAAAGGAAAAATGCAACATTGTGGCGCCGTTTTGGATGCTGTACAAAAACATTTTTGTTAAACTGTCCACCTATACCTGCTTTTTGTAAATTTGAGCATTTGTCACTTGAATAAGAGTTGAGATGTATAAGAAAGAACTTGTTTACAGTCCATGTGCAATGAATTGTTTTTTTCTCCCCCATATGAGTTTTACTTGTGATACTGAAAGTGACATCCGTCTTTACACAAATGAATGTTACAGATTTTACATCCGTACACTGTCTCCTTTCGCACCTTTTTCTGCAGGTGAACTTTGCACCGTCTTTTGTAGCCCATGTGCACAGACTCGTGTCCCATCACCACGTTTCTATGCAGAACGAAGTTGTCGTCCATTGGAACACTTCTTCTTTTCCGGCTGCTGTAACCTCCGATCAGTTGCCGCACCAACTCGCATCGGAAGTCCAGGTGAGAATAGTTCTTCTTCTTGTTGACTCTGATCGAGGTCTCTTTGTAGAGGATAAATGCGTTCAGGATGGCACAGTTGATCACGAACCAGGTGATGTTTTTCCAGTGTTCTTTGCCTGGTCTTCCAACCTGGTAGTGGGCACGCAGAGGTCCATACCTGTCCACTCCATTCATATACTTGTTGAAGACATAGATTGAGTGAGGTTGCCTGACTTCAATCACCTCCTGCCCCTGCCTTCGCTGGATCAACATCTCCTCCATTGGGTCACTCAGAGTGCTCATCATCGCCACTTGCTTGGTATCTTGCCATAGTATTGCTGTTAAGTGCCCTTTCTGTTGCACTCGATACTCGCCTCTTTTCATTTTGGTGAGCTGCTGGAGATCCTTGGGGAACCCTTGTGGTTGGGTTGAGCCATCCCGCAAGAATATATCCCAGCATCCAGCAGGTCCATCATCAATTTCTCACACGTGAAAAAGCTGTCAAAAAACACACAGTGATTTTGGCCTTCGAGCTCTTTGGTTAATTTTCTGACAGCTTCGTACCTGAGTCCGTTCTTTGAGGTCTTAACGCCGCGCCGCCCATGAAAGACTTCAAAATCAAGCAGGTAGGCATTCTCAGCATCCGACAGCATCCACACTTTAACCCCCCCTTTGTTGAGCTTCGGAGGCATGTGCTGCTTGAACGTCAGTTTACCATTCATTGCAATCATTGCCTCGTCTACACTTAGGTACCTGGACGGCCGATACAGCTTTTTGAAGCTGGCGCGAACTGTGTCAAGAAGCGGCCGTGCTTTGTACAGGGCATCAAAGTTCGAGTCATGTCCACTGGTGTCATACAGCCTGTCACTCACGTGAAAGTATTCAGTTAATTTTTCGTAACGATTGCAGGTCATGATACTCTTCACCCCATCATTTCCAAACAAGTTGTCCCGGCTCCAGTACAGTTTATAGTTCGGCAGCTGATTAATTCCCATCAGTACATTGAGGCCAATGTAGCATCTCATTTCAACCTCGCTGACATCCACCCACCTGGCATCTGCTGCCCCCTCATGCCCCATTTTCCATCTGGCATAGCTATTTGTGTGCTCCACAAAATCGCTGAACAAGTTGGAATGTAGGAAGAGGCTGAAATAATCCAGCGGGGTTGCTTCGGAGATATCGAAATCTCGAGGGAACAACACTCCTGCTTCTCCACAGAAGTCATTGATCTGGATTGGAGTGAAGCTGTTGCTCCAACCTTGATCACTGGATCCAGTGTCATTTAGTTCAGAGTCCGGATCCTCTGTTGAGATATCAGTGATGTCCGATTCGTCATCAGATACCTGTAATACGGAGTACCTTTCTGATTCGTCATCATAGACTTTAATGCAATACTCTCCACTGGATGCTATGAACAAATGGTTAATCCCAGGCGCGCTCTCTCCAGACGTGCCGGCTTCCATCCTGTCCAAGTTCAAGTCTTCCGCTTCTTCTCTGTTGCAAATTAATGCAGAAAAACAAATATTAATTGCATATCAAAGAAAGAAGAACTTCCATTTTTATAGCATCCTATCACATCAAAACATTCCAATGCTCTTTCCAGTAATTAATATGTAGTCAACTGCTATTTTTTGTACAAAAATGAGACAGCTATTTAAGTATTGCTCAAAACTGCGATCTTAGGTTATATATAACATTTTGGAGTGCTTTAAAATGACAGGGCAAATGCCAATCTGGTGGATAGTGGAGGGGGAAAAGAGGTGATCTCTGGCCAGTTGGAGGTAGGTCTTAAGGAGGGAATTGAAGACAGAGAGAGCCGAGACAAATGAGTTGAGGGAAGGAGTTCCAGAAGTTAGGGGCATAGAAATGGAAAGTTCGCCCACTGATGGTGATGCACTCAAGCCTGAGTCAGCCGATCAGAGGGGTAAGCAGAAGAATGGAGGTAGGAAATCAGAAACATAAGGAGGTACTAGGACGTGAAGTGGTGTGGCTGAGACCTTGAAATTGATCTGCTGAGAGACAGAGAGCCAATGGAGCCTGGTGTAAACTCGGCTGATGAACATGCAAAGATTGGTGCTGACAAGGATGCAGACAGCAGAGTTTTGGATGTTGAAGTTTATGAATGGTGGAGCGAGGGAAAACAGCGAGGAGTGCATTTAAAAAATCCAGCCAGGATTTGATAAGACTTGAATAAGGATTTTGGTGATATTTACAGTGAGGTAGGGGTGGAGGTGGATAATGTGGCAGAGGTGAAGAAAATAAGTTTTGGTCAGAGACTGGATGTGAGGAAGAAAGGAGGGCTGAGGGTGGAGCTAGACACCAAGGTTGCATATTGATTTGGTGAATTTGAGAGAGAGGTCAGGGAGGTTGAAAAAGTCCAAACCAGGAGTGAGAAATCTAGGAGAATAGTTTAACTAAAGAACAACTAAAAAGGATTGAGCTTCAGGAGTATGGGGAAAAGGTAGGTAAATGGGACTGAAAGGACTGCTCTTTCAAGGAGTCAGTACAGAGACAATGGGCCGAATGCCTTTCTTCTGTGGCATAATTTTTTATGGTTCCATTTTGCACAGGAATATCCCTCAAATAATCATGAGTTGAATGACCAATTTATCTGGAAGACTGCTGACCAGGTTTGGTGATGATGGAAGACAAGCAGTTACATTGTCAGGAAATGAGCAATACTTCCTACTCTAGCTGCCTGGTAAGTTTACTGCTTTGCCGTTCTTAATCTCAGACTTGCCACAGGAAGTAGAGGGAGACGTAAACAAGATAAACTGGAGAATGAGACCAAATAAAATGTTTTCTCATGGCTTGCAGATGAGTGGTTTGTCTGTCCTATTGGTCTTCCAATGGTGTTTTGGAGGGTAAATGTAAAATAAAATCCAAAAAAATGACACTAGATCCAGCAACCATGGATAGACAAACATCTTCACCCCAATCCAAATCAACAACTTCAATGTGGAAACAGGCACGACATTCCCTTAAAATTTTGATGCCTCGAAAGGAACACTATTTGATTAATTTAACCCAGGAGAAAAAAATTCAATGAAAATAATTGTAAAGAAAGAAAAACAGCACTAGTATGGTCTGACGTTAAACTAGAACTGAATAACGGTATTGGCCTGGCTCAAATTACTAATAAGAAAATAGGAACAGGAGGAGACTATTCAGCATATCACTCAGATATCTGGGTCAAAAGGTTGTGGATTCAAGCCCCATTTTAGCACTTGAGTTTGAAGTCCTAGCTGGGAGCACTACATTTATCCTTTACAAGACATATTAACCCAATGTCCCATTTCTCTGTTCAGGTGGATGTTCGTGATCCTGTGATCAATTTCAGAAACAAGGGAGTTTCTCCCGGTGTTCTGGCCAACAGTGTTCAGGATAAAAAAAAACTTCACTTTGAATGCTGTTTGTGGAATATTGGTGTGCTCAAATTGGCTGCCACATTTGCATACAAATACTCAAATCACCACATTTAACAGCAACAAAAACGACAACAAACTGGATGTATTTAGCGCTTTTCACGTGCGAATAATGTCCTGAGGCGCTGGACAGTGAAGGGTTTGCACCCGAGCTGGGGGTTGGAATCAAGAGAATTGGAGGTTAAGAAGGATGGGGTTGGGAAGATGACCGATGGATGACAGCAACTGCGCATGAAATCTTTTGAGATGTTTTGACTCCATAGGTTCTTTATCAACTGCAAGGATTATTGTTATTATTACACATCTGGGGAAAAGCAGAGCCAGCCTGTCTCCGCATGAAATAATACAGGATTAACAGGACCAACTCTAGCCATTTTCACAGCATACACGTGACCAGTGATTGCTGGTGTGTAAATAGCTTTCAGGAGATGTACAAACTTGCCCAAGGAACACTTGGACGTGAGGTGGGCGAAGCACAGCCAGAGCACGCGTCCGACGACTTCCGATGGCACAAAGCTTGCTGCTGCACCGTAACCACACGGGCAATTTACCTCAAAAGAAAAGAGCTCGCCCAGCTTCTCCCCAACGGTTTAAAATCACTCCGTAACGCCTGCACGTCGCCAATGTACCACACATTTCACTCCATTTCTCTTACGGAAAGCACATCGCTCGTGCGAACTGCAAAAATATCAATCATCTGAGCCCTAGATACATATATGTATTTATATACACACACACATATATATACACACACATATATATACACACACACATATATCAATCACCTGAGCCCTAGATACATATATGTATCTATATATACACACATATATACACACACATATATATATATTTATACACAAAAAAAATTCAATGGCAGAATTTTGCAGTGTAACTCACAGGTTCCAGGCGAGGATTCAGAAAGAGCAGCAGTTGTGCTCAGAAAGCACAGCCACAGCAGCTTCCCTCAGCAAACCCCCCCCCACCCCCCCCCTCCCCTCAGCAAACCCCCCCCACCCCACCCCCACCCTCAGCAAACCCCCCCCCCACCCCTCAGCAAACCACCCCCCCACCCCCTCCCTCAGCAAACCCCCCCCAACCCTCCCCTCAGCAAACCCCCCCCACCCCCCTCAGCAAACACCCCCCCCACCCCCTCCCCTCAGCAAACCCCCCCCACCCCCTCAGCAACCCCCCACACCACCCCCTCCCCTCAGCAAACCACCCCCACCACCCCCCCTCAGCAAACCCCCCCCACCCCCCCTCAGCAAACCCCCCCCCCCCTCCCCTCAGCAAACCCCCCCAACCCTCCCTCAGCAAACCACCCCCCACCCCCTCCCCTCAGCAAACCCCCCCCCCACCCCCTCCCCTCAGCAAACCCCCCCCCACCCCCTCCCCTCAGCAAACCCCCCCCCACCCCCTCCCCTCAGCAAACCCCCCCCACCCCTCCCCTCAGCAAACCCCCCCCACTGCTCGGGGCCCGGGTGATGGCCGCGGTCTGTAGGCCTCGGGCTCGCCGCTGTCTCGGGCTAAATTTGAGCCGCACGCGGGGACCGGTCGGGGCCGGTGAGGCCTCTCAAACTCGGCCGCTCGGGGGAGGCGCGAGGCCTAAAGTCCCATTCAAAGTGACGGCTTAAACAACCGACCGCACCCCCTCCCCCTCCCCTCACCCCCACCCCCCCTCACCCACTCACTCACCCCCCCACCCACACCTCCTCACCCTCCCCTCCTCCCACCCCCTCCCCCCAACCCCCTCACCCTCAACCCCCTCCCCTCCTCCCACCCCCTCCTCCCACCCCCTCACCCACACCCTCTCCCACCCCCCTCACCTCACCCCCCTCACCTCCCTCCCACCCCCCCCTCACCCACTCACTCACCCACACCCCCCCCGCACCCCTCACCCCTCACTCACCCCCGTCACCCAAACCCCCCCTCCCCCCCCTCACCAACACCCCCCCTCACCCCTCACCCACCCACACCCCCCACCCCCTCCCCCACTCACCCGCACACACCCACCCACTCACTCACTCACCCGCCGCCCCGCGCGCCGACCGCCCGCCCGAGAGGAAAATCTAAGATGGAGTAAGAGAAGCTGCAGAATGATATGTCCGCGTCGAGAGCGGCGACACTGCGGTCCCGGTTACCGTGACGGGGGTTGGACTGTGCGGGACCCGCTGCACTCTCACACCGAGCGCTCTCTCTCTCTCTCTCTGTGTGTGTGTGTGTGTGTGGGGGGGAAATTATTATTATTATTATTATGATGATGATGATGATTTTTTTTTTGCCCCGACTGTTTATGTTGAGGCTCTCAGCACCATCACCTCCTCCTCCTCCTCCTTCCTCCTCCTCCCACCGTATGCCCAGTTTCGGAGGGGTGTGGTGATGGCGGCGGTGGGGGGTGGGGGGGGGTTTGGTGGGTGAGGGGTGAGTTCAAAGATAAAATGATGAAATACCTTTTCTCGGGGTTTCCAGCCTCCACTACAGCAGTTACCATCTGTGTGCACTGCAGGGACTCGACACACAGGAACCCTCCCTCTCTCCCTCTCACACACACACACGCACACGCGCGCACAGGCGCTGCAGCGACACGTAGCGGGGCTACCGCGCAATGTCAAGGAGGTGGCAGATGGGGCCAAAAAAAACACACACACAACCCACCAAGGCTGGAGATGGGCGAATGGACCGCAGCTCAAACCCCCGATTGCACATCGAACTCACCTGCGCTGGACCTATTTCACACGTCAGACTGGCCAGTGTTAGGCAAAAAAACAACAACAACATTTGAAACATTTGCAAAAAAATTTTTTTTTTTTTTGAGATCTGGGGTGTCGGGAAGGAAGGACGGAAGGATGGAAGGAAGGAAGGAAGCACGGAAGGACGGGTGGACGGATGGATGGATGGACGGACGGACGGACGGATGGATGGATGGACGGAGAATGCTATCTCGTCTCAATTCTACCGAGTGTCGCTCTTTCAGGAGTGAGGAGCATTCGTTTTAGAAGCTTGACCTTTCAACATTTAGAGCCCCCCCCCACCCCCCCACCCCCCCACCCTCACCCGCCGCGTACCCTTCAGAAGGTTTCAAATCTGCCACACTTTGTGCGGGTTCTAAGGGTCACGGTTAATCTTCTCGAACGCTGCCCGCTCTGGTTCAGTTGGGAAGGGTTGCCGAGTCAGTAAATCAGAGAGGCGATGCTTGTTGGATGACAAGATTTTAATCAAAAGTTAATTGCAACAAACACTTGAGCATGTAACTGCCGAAACCAGCTCAGTGCAATTTAGACTATTTGAAAACGCTGCGCTTGGTTGACAGGAGGTAAACAAAGATCCTGAATATTTCAGGATTCCAAGCAATTTTTCAATTTGAATTTGAATTTTGAATTTTAAAAAATGTCGTGTATCCTAATGGGTTTGTTCTGAGTGTGAAAAGATTAGTAATAATAAATCATTGCATTTGATGTAGCACTTCATAGGATTTAATATAAAGCATAGTGACTGTATTTTGTAGGCAAACATGTGCATAAATTGCGCACTGCAATGTCCCACAAACAGCCATGAAGGGAATGACCAATTTTATCTTGGGCATTGTTTGCCAAGACACTGGGAGAAACACCCTTCCCTTTTTGAATAGTGCCAAGGGATTTTTAATTCCCCAAATTGTGAAGATAATCATGGAAATAATCCAGACCACTCACGCTTCACACAGGCAATCCTGGCGTCCTCCACTCCACAGACAATATTCCCTTCCTCTGACTCCAGCAACACAGACATCATTGAATTTATCTGTCTACACCTATTTCTTCAAAATTCTGCTCTCCAGTGATGGCCCATCATGAGGCTATTGGTAGATTATTTTATAAATTCTAGAACTCCATTTCATTCATTGATACTTTTTTTGCACTTATCGTCCCTCTTTTAATGAATTGTTTTTGTTTTATATATCCTCCACTCAATTGGATTTTACCCTTCAGGCTATACCACCACTTGTTGTTCTTGGGGGTGGTGTAATTCACAATAGAAAAGTACCAGGCATTACAGAAGCATTACAGAAGTTACAGAAGTTGCAACATATTGCAATTAATGGTCTCATGAAGACAACAATCTATTAACATAGTTTGATTTAACCTGTTGTTTCAAACAATTTGAATTTATATAGCACCCTTCACACAGGGTAGCATTTGAGAGCGCTGAACAATGGTGGAGTTTGATGTTTGAGAACACATGTGTTGTGATGAAGCATTGTGCTCAGGTCATATGAAATGGTCATATTGCACCCCAAGTGAACACAATGGACAAATTCGAAGAGATTCGCCCGGCAGATCTAACGTACAAGTCAATTTGAGGAAATGCTTGTGTGAGGCAAATGAGATAATTCGAACACAATTTGCTTAAAAATTAAAGGAAATTATAATCAACACACATTTTTGATTTGAGTTTCCAGTAACTGCTTATCAGAAGTTTGTAAACGAGACATTTCCTTTGAATCTACCAGTAACTGCTTATCAGAAGTTTGTAAACAAGACATTTCCTCTGAATCTACACAACTTCAGATTCAGTTTGTAGATAATTTATATTTAAAGATGTTATTTATAATAATATTTGTAGATATTATTTATAATAATCCTTGCATTCAATAGAACACCTTTCATGGTAGGATGTCTCAAAAGCAATTCATAGGATTTACTGTAAAGTGAGGCGACTGTAGTTATTTAGACAGGTGCATAATGACACATTTTCATTAGCAAGCTTTATGATGTGTCATAATGAAGAGTCAGAAAGTTTTATGATAATCATATTATGTCATTGCTGCATTCACTGTCCTCTTAACCTTTACTGGGGTTAGTCAGATAATATAAAGCTTATTTTAATTTAGTGTTTGTATTGCTTAACTCTTCTCTCATGAATAGCAAAGGAATATCAGAACAGCTATTTATCACTTTCATGCTAATCAGTTTCTATTTTTATTCACTATAGGAAATAGAGCCACCATGTATGGGAGATGTTGTGTAGGAAACCTGGAGACAAGACGCAGCAGCTCAAGCTTCCCGTCCAACACATGTTGCAAGCCCGCACAAACCACCTCAGTATCCATACCTTTTCCGAGGAATTTGTGTTGGAAGATATACCCTCAGCTGAAATTATATCCTCTGAAAACGGTATGCCCAACATTAATGGGGGGTCCGATTATCAACTGCCCTGTGCCTTCATACCCTGAAATGACCATGTGCTCTCCAATAGCGCCAAGACCCCTTTGTAAATGCTTTGTGACCAATCCTTACCATATGATGGATTCATGTCCAGTGACAGATCCCTGCTCCCCAGAAAGTTCCAATTGCATACCTCTTTTGAACAGGAACACTAAGGATGAATGTGTGGGGTCCAATAACAACAACCTTAAGCAACAACCTTAAGCGATCAGATTGTACCCGATCCAGTTCTGGGAATCTGAGAGTGGACATAAAACGTGTGATTCAGGATAATTGTCAAACTTGTTAAGACATCAAAACTGTCCCCCACAATTAAATCTCTCAACAGGCTGAAACAACTTGGATATTCAATTATTTAGAAGCAGCTACATTCGCAACCATAGGATCCAAATGGAATGTAGATTGATATAGACATTTAATTTTTATCTATACTCACCTGGGAGGACTCCTGTAGGAGAAGTCCTTTTGGGAGGACTCAGTGCTTTAAAAATTTTATTTTGTTGTTGCCGTGGCTTAGCTTAATTTGTGTTATTTTGTTCGCGCCGCTTGGCTACGTGTATGCTCCGTGACGCTGGATGCACAGCACCACGGTCAGCCAGCGCGGCCACCAGATGTAAGTGCAGTGCATACGTACATACGTAAGTGCTCTGTGACACACAATGACAGAGCACCACTTTGACTCGGCGGCCACCGGGTGTAACTTGTGAAAAGACCCAAACTGAAAATAACTCATGAACCAAAGGAGATACTGATAAACAAATATGCCCATGTCACTCCGAGAAGTAAGACTTTCTGATGAGGTATTATGTCTCTATGTCAATCGGTTATTGAGATCCTTCTTGAAGCAGACAGACATTGCTGTTTTATTAGTATAGATAGAAGATAGATAATGGCTGGAATTCTAAATCACATTTATAATTTATATACAGTATCTCACGTTGGATGTCTCAAATTGCTTCAAACAACTGTCTGGCCACCCAAGTTGTTGGGGTGGGTGGGGCAGTGGACAAAAGGGCGGTAATCCAGTGTTGGGGGTGTTGATAGACGAGTGCATTTTGAGGAAGAGATTGTAAAGCATAAACATGTATCCAAACAACTCTAAAAGTTCCTCTTCATGCAACAAAAAAGTTTTTTTTATATAAACCAGCCCATTTGCAAAGTCCAGGAGTAAGCACCAGCTTGCACTGGTCTGTTGCTAAAACACTCCAGAGCCAGTCAGCTTCAAAGCTAGAATTTCTTTTTGCAAAGGCATAAATAAGGGCCTTAATTAAGTATACTACAACTGTTGGAAGGCATGACTTGGAGTGTTAGGTTTGTGACCATGCTTATGTATACAGGCTTGCTACATACCAAGATTGATAACTCTGAGCAGTAAACAGCACCTGCTGGGGTCAAGGCAGGGGAACTCCAGATGGAGTTCCAGAGAGCATGAGCAGAAGAGCTGAAAACTCACCCACCGATGGTGGGTGGAAGGCGTGACTGACGTTTGCCAAGTAAAGGGAGCAGCTGGAGCAGTATGTCGCAGAAAGCGAGAACAAAATTCTTGAATTTGATCCAGTGGTGAAAGCGAAGCTGAGGGTTGATAGCCTGGCAGAGCCCGGTGTGGCAGAGGACATGAGCTGCAGAATTCTGGATGGTCTGCAGTTGTGTAGGGATTAGCTGGGGAGTTCAGCATTGGAATAACCAAACCATAATGTGATAAAAGTGTGGATTGGGGTCTCAGCAGCACCAGGGGAAAGTACTGAAGCTCCTCACTTCAAACCGATGGAAATCATGCTCACTGGGTAGAGGTGTGTATCCAGGAGGAGGTTCCTGGTTTGGACATGTAGGATAAAACCAACCATGCATATGTAGAACTATGCATATGCCTAACTCACAGTAGTTTGGATTGGAAACTCTTTAGAATAGTGATCTTTCGGCATGTGACAAATTAACTGATGAAATAAAATTATGATAGTCAAATATATGAAGATACTCGCCATGCACAATACAAAAACCACAACAAATACAGATTGAAGCAATAGATGAACATTTAATGCAGTAAACAAGTGAGTCAAAGAAGATTATGCCGATTTTAAAATAAACAACCAAAACCATACATAAGCATGTGAATACAGTCAATGCATTTGGGTCAAAAAAATCTTAAAAATGAAGAGTCTACCTATTGCAGAATTCAATTATTAATTTCAAAATGACAATACTGCAAAGGAAGTCACAAACCTGATAGATGAAGGCAAGGATGCAACTATAGAAATAGCTTCACGTCAGTTCTGAGTCCCTGACACTGCAATTGTCTTAAGAGTATTGAAGGGGATCACATTAAACAATAAAAATCCACATTGAAACACTTACTAATACATTTATAAGTTTTGGTGGAAAGGTAAACATAACCACGCAAAAAAACTAGTGTACAGATTTTAATTTTTTTTACGTTATTTACATATTTAAACCAACAAGATGGGTTCAAAAACTGGTAAAAGCAAAAGCATCCATACAAGGTAGAAATCTTTGCATAGACTTTCAAAAATCTTAAGGTTTTAAATGAACGACCAATACATTAACAAGAGGAAGAATATTTTCTCGCATGCTAACATGTCATTACAAAATTGTGATATTGTCACACTATTCACAACTTTTATTCAAATCCAACTGTGGATGAGGTTAGAATTACCACATTATGGAAATAGCCTGAGCTGGTTCAGTACAGATGTAAATCCTGACAATGGCTAATGCAATGACACTGGGCTTTTAAAGCATAATAAAGCAAACCCTATTGACGAAATCTTATCCAGGTGTTTGTATAAAAAAAGTAATCTAAACAGCAGATTCTATCATGGTTTAAAAAGGGATGGTGGGTGTTATACATAGTTATTTCCATGGAAAATACTGCATTCTAATATTCAAGCTGCATGAGAATTAAATGTTAACTAGATGTTGAAGTGAATTAATCTAGCATTACATAATAGTCATGTTTAGTCATTCGAAAAGTTTGACCTTCTGGTCCAGGGGAAAAGTTAACGTGGTTCCAATTCTTGAGACAGAATAAAATATTCCATTTTCTGTAGAACCAAATTTCCATTTTTACCAACAAAAAAAGCACTTCCACCTAGGTATTTTGAACGTGTACAGGAGGCTAAATGTTCACTTCCAACATGTATTCTTATTCTGGAATTGTATTGGACACTACCATAAAGATGTGAAAAAATAGTACAACACTGGTTTAAAAAATATTACGCGGAGAAATTGATACACTAAAACAAAACCACAGGACAAACGGAAAGTGAACAAAATCAACCAATTCTATGACTAATATGATTCTTTTAATCTCTCATTCCGTTTTTATAATCATCCAATACCATACTCACTATTTTTTGTATCCCTCTTTTCCTTATGACTAGATTTCTAACTTTTCTTCACTATTCCTTCTTAGCTTTACTATCGATCTCTCTATTTATTCCAACCTCTACACAGTGGAAATGCACATGTGAAAAAGCTACTGAAATAAATTTATGCTTTCTTCACAACACACAACGATGAAAAGATCTCTGAAACAACCAATTTTTCCCTTTCAGAAACAAATTACTTGCTGTAACTTTTCCTTCAAATTTCTAGCAATTTTGACACTTTTCTTTCCATACACAATTTACTCTGGTCTCATCAGAAAATAATTCCCATACCAGTGAAACAGCAAAGATCTATTTCTCATACTGAATCACTTTTACTGTTTGATATAAATGTGCTGAAATCAAAAAATACTTTACCTCCAGCAAAATCTGAAACCCTATTGGCAAAGTTTACAAACTGAAAGAATGTTTGACATCAAACAAAATCACCTGCTGCTTATCCTCCTTCAAAGGGGAGCTTAGACACTCATTGCAAGATAAAATTTTAGTTCTTCCTCTCCCTCTGCATATGTGAATTAATTATAAATCCACCTCAAGCTTCTTACTGGTTTATAAATGTACTATGCAGTTATTTTCTACCGTGGTGCATCATGCGTTGATTCGTACAGTTTCATGTAAACAGAATCTCAATGTTTATTAGTGTTTTTATATTCTCCATTTCAGGTTAATGAGTAAATTAGCATTTATAGAAAAACTAAGACAAAAGGCTGAGGTGGACAGGGGAGAAAAGATTTGATCAAAATATCGTAAACGGGAAACAGCGGTCTCATCAAAAAACTGTGTCAAAACAAGTTTAACTAAAATCCAGATCAAAGATATTTTTGCAAATATATGCCATTAACATGTAGAAAACGTAGTCCAGTGTACAAACTTTAGCCATCACAGGGTACAGATAAACATCAACTGAAAGGAGTGCATTCTTCTGTAGATATTATATTCCCAAAAAGACTTGTGGATTCCAGTGTTTCCAAGAATAAATCAGTTACTTGTCTGTAGTACTACTGGGTAATTCCTAGTCGAGAAGAAAATGCAATAAGTTAATTGTTAGAGGGTTATATGGTGTCAAAAGATCACTACTTTTTGAGAAAGTGGGAAATAAAAAGGGAACAAATTAAACATTACATTAGAATCTCTGATATTTATACCTGTAAAACCATGTATCCATTCAACTGCAACATTGCACATTGCCTTTCAGAAAGAATGTTTTTTGTTCTCAAGTTCTAATGCACAGATATTCTGGCATTATATGGCTGTTAGATCTGGAAGAAAATTGTGTTGTTCCACTTTGTGATGAATTTTTGATTCTGAATGCAGAAATGGTCCCTTGGCCTTTATAAAGAAATATCTACACTACCATGAGAAAATAGTGAAGAAAGTAAGCAGACGATTTAAAAAAGAGCAGCAAATTAACCTGAGCTCTCATTCATGGACCTTCACTGGCTGCGGGTTACTTGCCTACCTTCTTGTGACAAGAATATTGCATGGCAGGAAAGAGGAAATGAAAATATATATTAATAAATGGTGAAACATAATGCAGAATCAATCACTTAAAATCTGCAGAATGAAAATTCATATCTTATTACAAACTAAATACGGTACCTCCAAGATCAAAATAAATATCTGAATGAACATATTGCCTCCTTACCCTTTCATCTCTCCGTTTTCTTGCTATACCTTCCCTGAAGTGTTTAGTGAATATCTTGTGATTAGCCCATCCAAAACCAACACCATATACACGCATATATTTAGATTGCATAGTAAAACCTCTCTTTCCAAAACCAGGTTTAAATCTTCCAGAAGGTGGATAATCTTTCCCAACATGCTGTAAAAAAAAACAGGGACTAATAATGGCTTAATAAAAAAACTTGTCTCCAGATATATAAGCAAGTGCTTATGATGTTATATAATGCTTGCATTTGATTTAGCAACTTATCACATCAAGACGTCTCAAAGAGATGACTGAGAGTGGACTCAAGTGTACAGCAATTTAATTAGGATTGCAAAATTATACCAGGATTGTATCAAGGTTGTATCAAAATAATAAAACAAAGGTCATATGTTTAGATATATGAATGGCAGTTTCAGGACAGAATCCAGGAACTTTTTCTTTATGCAGAGGGTAATCAATAACTAGAACAGGTTGCTAGGAAGGTAGTAGAGGCCAGGTCGCTAGATTAGTTTTAAAAGCAGCTTGAATCAATGATAAGGGGATAGGTCTTCTGGAAGGATAACCCTGGATGGGTCGAAGGATCTTCTTCAGCCAGACCAATAGTGGTCTTGTGAGAAACTCTCTTCTCGTTTCAAATAGTGCCTTTGTATCTTGTGGGTTCACCTCAACTGGGAAACCGGATCTCAGTTTAATGTTTCATTCGATGGCACCATAACAATGTGGAGCATAGCATCCCTGCACTGCATTGGAATGTCAGTCTAGACTGCATTTAAAGTTCTGAAGTGGGCCTTGAACCCACTACCTTCAATGTCAGATTCGAGATTGCTAATGTCTAAGCCAGGCCACCATGTATGTGCTTTACTTAGATACGGAAAATTTGCAAATGACAATTATGCACTACACCAATTATTCTGCAAATTGGATTTTTATAGTAAAATATTAAAATATGACCTTATTCATAGCAAACGTAGTAAAACACAAAAATACTATTACACAATTACATAATCACTTAAAATGCCTGCAGGTAATTTACTTTTTCAAATAGCTACTAATCACTCGTGAGGGAAACAGCTCGGAAAGAGAAGCGTAATCGTGTACTGTATGTTGTATTTTTATGTATTCAATACTAATTACCAAAACATTGAAAAGTGTCAGCTTGGCTCAGTCAGTAGCACTCAATACAAATTTACATTTATGTAGCATCTTTCCAATCAGGAGGACATCCCACAACTCTCACCCAAGTCAAAGTGTTGCGGGTTCACGGCCCACATTGGCACTTTGAACTCATTCTTATATGTGCTGTATTGTTGGTTGTGAAATTCATTGGATGAGATGTTAAACCAAAGTCCTGTCTTGCCAGTCCAGGTGGACATTAATGATCCCATGCCACTATTCAAAAAGAGAAGGAAGTTTTTGCCAGTGTTCTGGCCAACAATCCCCAAATAAAATTGGTCAATCACTACATGGAACATTGCAATCCACAAATTGGTTGCCACATTTGCCCACAAAAATACATTCACGATGCAAATTCTGTGAAATGCTCTGAGACATCCTGACATGAAAGGCACTATATTAAATATAAGGATTTTTAATATTAAATGCCAAGATTATTATAACTCGTGAACCATGACTTAGACTTAATCTACAAGGCCTCTTACGAGTGATTCAAACAAAATTGTAAACTAAATCTCTTCTACCATGATAATCCTTCTGCACTATTGAACAATTATCATGCCTTCCCTTTAAACACTCTAAGCAACTATGACTACATGCTACAGTGTGCTCCAACCCTCTCCCATCCAGATCATAATCAACCAACTGCTGGAAAGTGGTCTCTGTAGTTTTCACCCAAGATATAGCCTCATATAGACCTTTGGGTGTAAAGCATTACATTTAACTGGGCTTGTCAAGTCCTAAAACCTTAATTAGAATTTTGGGCAGGTTGATAGTGGGAGATTGTATGGTATGGTGCACCTGATTTTAACAAGACATCCTCCCTATAACACATGGGATACATAAACTATTGTTACATCATTTATTTCCTGTAATTCAGAGATAATCATTACACTTTATTCTTTTGGGGGGAAATGTTCGCTTCCTCAGATTCCTTAACTGTATAAATTGATTTGCAAATTAAAAACTACCATTTTGCAATTGCTTCCAGTGGTTCAATAATCTATGAGGAGTTCAAATACAAGAAGAAAGGTTAGGTGGTTTCAGTCATCAAAACTTCAATATTAGATTACAGTCTTAAAAGTCAAACCAGTCTTTAATTGAAATAAAGAATTAAGATTTGTCTCGTGATTTAAAGAGTATGAACGTTCTGATAATCTTCTAAATAACCTCAGGATGAATCTACTATTCATGTGATCCGCTTTATAGCTGAATCCATCCGTGACTGTGTTACTCAATTCCAGTTAGATGTTGAACCAGTCACCCGAATGAACAATAATAACTTGCATTATATAGCAACCATCAAGAGCAAGAGTGCCAGTCAGTGACAGGGTTAGATGTTGGATGCAAACCTAACGATAACACAGTGGCATCTGTTATCAGCACCAGTTGAACAGTGCTTGCAGAATTACCTTTCTTTCCTGGGACCATATCAGATTTAAGATAAAAGCATTATTATTACTAGTTGTTCTAATGGAAATTAGTGAGGAGATCAGGTGAAATTCACCTGAAGACATCATAAATGGATTCACATTTAGGCATCTCCTAGTTTTGGAACAAATAAAGCAACCGATGCAGTAAGACTTTGCTTAAAATATGATGTAAAAAACATAAGAGCCTGTCACATGAAAGGGGAGAGGATCAGCTATCATTCCTCCTGCCTTAACATATCCTAAGAGTTGCACAGAAATTCACTGAACTGAATGGGAGATAAATTTGTAGTAACCTGGTAAAGCTGTTTAATCTGCTGGAGGAACATAAGAACATAAGAATTAGAAGGAGGCCATTCGGCCCCTCTAGCCTGCCCCGCCATTCAATAAGATCATGGCTGATCTATTCTAACTCCACCTACCCGTCTTATCCCCATATCCCTAAATCCACAAGAAATCTACCAATCTCAGTCTTGAATATGTTCAAGGACTGAGCATCTACAGCCCTTCGGGTTAGAGAATTCCATAAACTCACTACCCTCTGAGTGAAGAAGTTTTTCCTCAACTCAGTGCGAAAGGGCTTACCCCGAATTTTAAGACTGTGACCCCTGGTTATAGTTTCTCCCACCAGGGGAAAAAGTCTCCCACTATCTATTCTGTCGTGCCCCTTAATAATCTTATAGATTTCTATGAGATCACCTCTCATTCTTCTATATTCTAGAGAATATAGGCCTAAATTGCTCAACCTATCCTCATAACTCATCCCCCTCATCCCTGGTACCAACCTAATGAATCTATGTTGTACCCCCTCCAAGGCAAGTACATCCTTTCTTAAATAAGGAGACCAAAACTGCACACAGTACTCCAGGTGCGATCTCACCAGGGCCCTATACAGTTGCAGCAAGACTTCCCTACTCTTATATTCTAACCCTTTTGTAACAAATGCCAACATACCATTAGCCTTCCTAATTGCTTGCTGTACCTGCAAACTAACTTTTTGTGATTGGTGTACAAGGACACCCAAGTCCCTCTGAACGCCAACACTATCTAGTCTCTCCCCTTCTAAAAAAATAATCTGCTCTACTGTTTTTGCCACCTAAGTGGATGAACTCAAACTTCCCTATATTATACTTCATCTGCCACCTATTTGCCCACTCACCTAGCCTATCTATATCTATCCCCAGAGGACATAATGGGTTACTATTGTAAGCTATAACTTCTCTCTCTTCCCTACACTAACACATGTTGTAGGAGGTCATCAGCGTTTAGCAGGAACAAGAGCCCAGTGAGATAAGAATGCATGTTTTGAGACGGGAAGAATTACATGACACACAATAGTATGGAGGGAGGTATGGCGGGGGGCGGAGAGGGTAGGTCACCCAATTTACTCAGATGGTGGGGGAGCCCGGTGCAGCCTTGACCTGATCCAATCTCTTTCAGGTGGTGCTTGGTGCCATGTTTCCAGCTAAATCTGATAATGAACCGATCCCTCTTTTGTTCAAGTCTGGTGATCAATGTTCTCCTGAATAATTTCAGATCTGTGGTGCAGGTCAAAACAGGTATGCGCAGTGAACCAAATAGACATCGCATGAGTCCATATCCTGCTTTGCTGACAGGTATCTGAGGCTTATCAGTTTTCATAAAGTAAATTCCTAGAATGCAAATTTTAATAAGCAATATGGTTTCAAGCATTAATCAAATGAAAGTTCCTGAAGATTCAAACCACATAAAAAACATCAGGTCAAAGTCAAGGTATTCCTAAACAATGATTCTATAGTTAAGGAACGAGGCTAACACATCTTGAAATATACTGCCCACCCTCCCCAATCAATTCTAAGTAATAAACAGTCAAACCCAGCTGTAAAGCACTGGGCACCACTATTTTGGTTTAATTATTTGCACTCAAACAACTAGGAAGATCGTGCTAAAATCAACAGGCCCAACCATAGTGGAGTCCTGTAGCTCAGTGGTTAGAGCACTCGCCTCGCAAGCGAGAGACCTGGATCCGATTGCTGGCAGCGTGAAATGTTCGGCATGTTTTCTTACTCCACAAGCCTCTGTTTATCTAGCAGTAATTAGGAACCTGGTTGTTAGTTGATTGGCAGATCACTTTTCCAGGAGTAACAATTCCTTCCAAAAAAATAATAAATTGGTCACTTCAATCCATGACTGTTTATGGGACACTGCTATGCGCAATTGGCTGCCGCGTTTTGCCCACAAAATAATCAATCCACTTCATAGTCATTATTCTGTAAAATACTTTGGAAAGTCTCGAAGACTGATAAGGCGCTATATCAAATGCAAGGATTATTATTATTATTGTTTGCCAGAGGTTGGTGTGGTCATATTAGGCAACACAAAAAGTGGGAATATTCCTTAAATACACATGTTGGTCGACAAACACACACATAATTCTCAGAATGTATCATACTGACCACAATAGTTTTCTTTGTCACTCTTCTCACAGGATCCTTGATAAGTTCATCTGATGGTGGTTTAAATTGTGAACTTCTAGATACTTTCACTTGACTGAAATGAGATTTCTTGTGTCTCTTTGACCTATAAAAATTAAGATATCAGTTTCTGAAAATAACATTATGCCAGAAAGATTGCTGTGTCTAAGTTAGTCTCACAATTACATTTAAACCACATAACCTGTACATTATTCCTTATTCATACTGCACCTGCCTCATGTTGGTTATGAGCTAAACATAAGATGAAACGCATTGTGCAATTAAATATTGGAAAAAAAAGTTTGATCCTAGGTCCTATTGTAATAACTGCAACTTCAGAAGATGTAAATGCATCAGTCATTCTGAACACGTAAAAGCCCAAAAGGCTGAAACACATTTACTACAACAACATTATAAAATAATTCCTGCATTTTATTACAGCCTTATTACGTTGTTGAGACATCTCAAAGTGCTTCACAGAAAATACTGCAAAGTATATTGTCTTTTTATGGGCATCAGATGCAGTCCCTCCCTCAATCAGGGAAACCAAAGGCAGCTACCCTTTCCTACCACAGCACTAGTAAACTGATCAGTTCAACATAAACCAGGAATCGTCCAATCCCAATGTTGCAAATTTACCTCGTGAACAATCCATCAGGCATCTTTCATCACATACCATTTTAAAAACAATCAATTCCTTTATGGAAGGGGGCTGTAAATCCACTGCTGGTTTTCATCATTGGGCTAAGCTGCAGCTTTGGTGAAATAAATAAATCAGCCAATGAAGATCAAAGTTTTTTTTGAACTATGAAGAGCTGAAGGTTATTGCAGTAGGAACGTGTTACAATACAATTTAAAATTTTGATAGCACTAAAACCTCCTATTTGTTCTTCAAAATCATGTAATGTCTTGGTGCCTTGGAAATTCAATGTTGTGCTATCTTAATTGGAGATTAGCCTGTCAATTTGTGCAGCTTTCAGTTATTCAGCAGTGTCAAATTTAGCATTAGAAGTTTATGGAACTCAAGAGAGATACTGAGATAAACCTTACTGATCCCTCCTTATTAGTGTACTAAAGTAAAACTGTTTGGTATTGAGTCAGCTAAATGAATGGTCAAAACTGATGCAACAATACCAGGGTGGAACATATTATTCTAAAGATACAGGATACTCTCGCTTTTCATATTTGTGAATACATTTAAGTTGTTTTTCACCTGTGAGAAATTAGCTTTTGTTCTGCAGTTTGAAAGGATTCTTCATGACTATCCTGTAATCTTTCCTTCCTCCTTCTCTCTATGTCATGGCGAAGGTCATCTGGATTTGTAGCGACCCATGTGCTGATCTGAGTGCAACAAAACATCTGTAAGTAATACAAAATGACTCAGAAGACTTAGTTGGAGGACTTCCATCCCCAAAGTATTTTATTTAATCCTGCTAATGTCAAGTCCCTTTGACCCAAAGAGTTTTGTGACTGTTCACCAATAAAATGCTTTTTGCAAGCATTTCTTAACAAGTCACTATCATCTGGCACTGATTCCTGCTGCAAATTTTGGTGGAAAGGCACATCAGTGCTATGGTAAGTGTTATTATAAAGGCAATTAATGGCATGGATCCTATTACTTGAAAAAAAACTAGGAAATATCCATATATTATCCATTTCATGGTACATACAGATTTCTAAATTCTTAAATGCTAGATGATAGTGTACATTTTATTCTACTCATTAAATTTACAAAATTCTTCTGTTTATATTTCTGAGTGCCTATTTCTATTTATAGAATAAGATGTCTTAAATTGAGCCATAATCACCGTTCACATGACTGAAATGTTAACTTATTTAACAGTTCAGGAATAGGCTAGTGAGGGTAAATGTAGGTCCACTTCAGTCAGAGACGGGAGAAGTTGTAATGGGGGATAAGGACATGGCAGAGTCCCTAAGTGGGTACTTTGCATCCGTCTTCACCCTAGAAGACACAACAAGTCTGCCAACAATAGAGATGCACCAAGGGGATAAGGACAGGGAGCAACTTAGGGACATTTTCTTCAGTAGAGAATTGGTGCTAGGGAAACTGTTAGCACTAAAAAGTGACAAATCCCCTGGTCCGGATGGCTTGCATCCCAGGGTTTTAAAAGAGGTAGCTTATGAGATAGTGGAGGCCTAGTGTCTGATCTTTCAAAATTCCTTGGATTCTGGAACAGTCCCCATGGAAGATTGCAAATGTCACACCATTATTTAAAAAAGGTGGAAAGGAAAAGGTGGGGAACTATAGGCCAGTTTGTCTAACATCAGTGATAGGAAAATTTTTAGAATCATTGATTAAGGATGTGGTAGTGCGGTATTTAGAGGAGCACAATATAATTAGGCCAAGTCAACATGGCTTTACAAAAGGGAAGTCATGTTTGACAAATCTCATAGAATTTTTTGAGGATATTTCCAGTAAACTAGATAAGGGTGAATCAGTGGATGTGGTCTATTTGGACTTCCAGAAGGCATTCGATAAGGTGCCGCATAAAAGGTTAGTCCAAAAGATAGGGGCCCATGGAATTGGGGGGAGCATATTAACGTGGATTGGGGAATGGTTAACGGGTAGGAAACAAAGAGTAGGGATAAACGGGTCCTTTTCAGATTGGCGGGATGTGACTAGTGGAGTGCCACAAGGATCAGTCCTTGGGCCTCAGCTATTTACCATCTACATCAACGATCTAGATGAGGACATCAAATTTAATATATCTAAATTCGCGGATGACACAAAACTAGGAGGAAGTGCCAACACAGAGGATGACATTAAAAAAATGCAGCGAGACATAGATAGGTTAGGTGATTGGGCAGGTAGGTGGCAGATGAAGTATAATGTAGGGAAGTGCGAAGTCATCCACCTAGGTAGCAAAAACAGTAGAGCGGGTTATTTTTTAGAAGGGGAGAGATTGGAATGTGTTAGCGTCCAGAGGGACTTGGGTGTCCTTGTACACCAATCACAGAAAGTTAGTCTGCAGGTGCAGCAGCAATTAGGAAGGCGAACGGTATGTTAGCATTCATTATGAAAGGATTAGAGTATAAGAGTAGGGAAGTCTTGCTGCAACTGTATAGGGCCCTGGTGAGACCACACCTGGAATACTGTGTGCAGTTTTGGTCTCCTCATTTAAGGAAGGATGTACTTGCCTTGGAGGGGTGCAGCGTAGATTTACTAGGTTAGTACCAGGGATGAAGGGGATGAGTTACGAGGATAGGCTGACCAATTTGGGCCTATATTCTCTAGAATATAGAAGAATTAGAGGGGATCTTATAGAAACCTATAAGATCATCAAAGGGCATGATAGAGTAGATAGTGGGAGATTGTTTCCCCTGAGGAGCCCGAGCCGCTGTGTGTCGGTTTGTCTGTCGGTCGGTCTCGGGACTTTGGATCCGGGTAGCGCCGCCAGCTCGAGCGGGGCTCGGAGACTGCGCGCGCACCGGAGCCAACGTGAGCTGCTGCTCTCCCTCACTACTCTCCCTCACTCCCTACGCCCCCCTTCCTCCCCCTCACTCCCCCCCCTCACTACTCTCCCTCACTCCCTACCCCCCTTCCTCCCCCTCACTCCCCCCCTCAACTCCCTACCCCCTCCCCCCTCACTCCCCCCTCACTACTCCCCCTCACTCCACCCCCTCCCCCCCTCACTCCCCCCTCACTACTCCCCTCACTCCCTACCCCCTTCCTCCCCCTCACTCCCCCCCTCACTACTCCCCTCACTCCCCCCCCCTCACTACTCCCCCTCACTCCTACCCCCCCTCCTCCCCCTCACTCCCCCCTCACTCCCCCCTCACTCTCCCCTACTCCTCCCCCCTTCCTCCCCCTCACTCCCCCCCCTCACTACTCCCCCTCACTCCCTACCCCCCTTCCTCCCCTCACTCCCCCCCCCTCACTACTCCCCTCACTCCCTACCCCCTTCCTCCCCCTCACTCCCCCCCTCACTACTCCCCCACTCCCTACCCCCCCCTCCCCTCCCCCCCCCTCACTACTCCCCCTCACTCCCTACCCCCCCTTCCTCCCCTCACTCCCTACCCCCCCTCTCCCCCCTCACTACCCCCCCCTCTCCCCTCACTCCCCCCACTACTCTCCCTCACTCCCTACCCCCCCTTCCTCCCCCTCACTCCCCCCCCTCACTACTCTCCCTCACTCCCTACCCCCCCTTCCTCCCTCACTCCCCCCCCTCACTACTCCCCTCACTCCTACCCCCTTCCTCCCCCTCACTCCCCCCTCACTACTCCCCCTCACTCCCACCCCCTCCTTCCCCCTCACTCCCCCCTCACTACTCCCCCTCACTCCCTCCCCCCCTTCCTCCCCCTCACTCCCCCTCACTACTCCCCTCAACTCCTACCCCCTTCCTCCCCTCACTCCCCCCTCACTACTCCCCCTCACTCCCCCTCCTCACTCCCCCTCCTCACTACCCCCCCTCACTACCCCTCCTCCTCCCCTCACTCCTCCTCCCTCACTCCCCCCTCCTCACTCCCCCT